GGAGTATAGCGGCCTTCGGTCGTCATTCTTATCGGTGAAGGTTGTCGGTTGAGCGACTGATCGGCGGCGGGATCTCGGGTTGGGAACGATAAACTGTGACCACGACTCCGCTGGCCTGTTGTGGGGGTAGTGACTTGCTCTTCGGAGTACTCGACGGTGGTTGCAAATGTATTGTTCTTGGTCGGCAGTGTAGAAGATCGAGTGTCAACAGCCAATGGCTCGGCCACGAAGGTTTCGAACATCGGGTATCGCCGCAATTGACGCTCGGACGAGGGAGCAGGTGGATGAACGAGAGTTGGCTCGTAATGAGCCCCCGCAATTAAAGGCTGGACGCACTTAACGAGAGTTATTGTGCATGACTGACTGGATGGATAGGTATTGAGTAGAAATGACTGATAGGGAATAAGACGGGGGAGGTGGTGGTGGTGGTGGTTTTGGAGGGGAAAGAAGGTGGGCGGTAAACCGGGGGGGGGGGAGGGGAGTTGCGGTGGTGTTGGTGGAAAGGCGGCGGGTTGCAGAATCACCCGCGGTAGAGATAGCCTGTGCTGGTGAGATCGATCCAAGAATCGGGGCTAGATAGATCACGAGATGACGACAGTCACTTGATTATCGGTCGGAAACCAGTGGTCTTAGGTGATCCCTCTGAGAACCTGATATCAGCCAGTCATTGGAGAAAAGGATGGGAAGGAAGAGAAGAAAAGGGGAACAAAGAAGGAGGAGGAGGGGAGGGAGAAGAGGGGAGGTAGAAGCTTGGAGGGAAAGTAGCGAGAAGGAGAATTAGGGGAGAAGCAGTCAGTTTAGTTAGTTTGGTGGTGGTGGTGGGCAGATTGGCTGGGGGGGGGGGAAGTGGAGGGAGAGGAAGAGGGAGAGGGAGAGAGAGAGGGGGATTTGGGAGAGGAATGACAATACCACTCGTATTCTTACCGGCCCGTTACGACGATGTCCCAGACTGGATATCGATCCACGAGCGGATGGATGGGGACGAGCCGACGTGAATTACTGGTACGTACTGGACGGTTCCCTAAAGTTATTATTATTATGATTATTATTATGATTTTTATTATTTCTAGGTTCCAGTCACTGCGGTCGATTGCTTCTTCTTGTCCGGTGCAGCTGGAAGCAGCCACCTGTGGTGAGCTTAGTACAGTACAAGTAGTCAATCCGTACTTCTGGATTATTGCTGGTCAGGAAACAAAAAAAAATAAAAGAACAACAAGCAGAGTATGCCCTAAAAATAAATCTCTATGCTTGGACTATTGCCGCCAGAAATCACTGCAGAATTTTTTCCTTCTACTATTCTTGAACGACTTTCGTCTTATTTTCTGCTCGTCTTTTCTTTGCCACCCAACGAGAGGTTTAAGTATAGTAACTGACTGCCTTGCCCAGCAGCTGACACTAAATTAGTCGGGAGTTGTTCAATCAACTCACCAACCGACTAACTAACTATGAGTTAGTATTCTCCAAGAGGGCTTTCCGGCTTCTATCCGAAGGAAAGAAAGTTACTTCTAGTCAAGACAACCCAGACTATCATAAACGTTGAGTGGAGCTATCTATCGATACGGATGTACGTCGGACGTGCTGTACATACTCACGTATAGTACTCCGTACTGTACGTACTTCCATAGATAGAGAGACGGGCTTCGGCAATAATACGTACAGAGTACTCCTTGTACCGCCAGACCTGTCGCTGCGATGGGACTGCACGAGCCCTCCGCAGCCCTCTGACGGACTGACTGGTCCAACACGAAGTACTATTGGAAGAGAAGGTTGTAGAGGCGCAGGCGGTACCGTACGGGCTCCATCGCAGCCATGTCTGTCATTGGCAGTACGTCAAGTCCTGTACGTGCGCCTTGCGGACCCTAATGGGGCTTTCAGATGGGGGGAAGAGAACCGGTAGGCCAGTCAAAAGGTGTGTGGCCTGCAGCAGTTCAGCAAGACACCGTCCTGTATGCCTGTTTGTCTCTTGTCAATCGTATTATGGGGACAAGCCGGAGTGGGCGATGGGGCAGAGGAAGTCGAGACTTCATGTCTCTCTTGTCATCTGAGACCGGATTGATTTAAGGGGCTTTTTGGTGGAGTAGGGAATCTATCTATCTGTTATCGACAAGCCACGGCGGGAGGCTGAGTGCGAGCAAGCAAGATTTGAAGAATTCGTGTTCATTGAATCTCTCTCTCTGCACAGACAGATCCAGTCAATAATGTGTGCCCCGGGGCCCGAGTCTCGAACCTTTTTTTTGGGGGGTTGTTCCTTGTTTTGACTGATCTGATTCTGATCCGATGAACGTTTGTAGCCGGTTATCCTTTTCCCGACTCCCGATCCAGGCGCAGGACCGTTGGTGTTGTTACCGTGGACCGCTCACTCTCTCCCAGTTGGAAGGTTAACTACACCCGCCGGTGCTCTAATTAACTTACCGAACGGGTAGGTAGTTATCTAGTACTCACAACGCAAACAACACAAAATGGTTGGTAGTTAGTTCCTCATCATTATGAACATCACCGTCGTCATTATCATCATCATTCAAGCAAACCTACATTCTACTCAATTACTCAACACCCCAAGTTTTGGTCAAATCTTGCTAGTATACATGCGCTATTGAGTAAATCTTTCTACTCTGGGCGACTCTGACCTTGGACGCAAAGTTTGTGCCCCTTGCCCCGGTGGGGAAGCAACGGGAAAACAACCCCGACCTTGCACGACCACAACATATCAACCAAGGCTGATGATGATAATGAGATGAGGAAAGAGGAGGTGGGGGGAAAGCTCTTGGTGGCAGAGGTTGCCCCGTTCACGGTTCTCGAACACCTCTGACGACATTGCATAATATCACAGATGTTCCTCCTGGCACTATGCCCTGGGGTGCCATCGGATATGCCAGTCGAAAGGTAGTGTACAGAGTACCGTACCGTACATCACATCCAGCCTATCAATCGATGCGAACGAGTACGAGAGAGGTGAAAGGTAGCGCCGCAGCCGTCAATATGGCGCTTTCCCATCACAGATCACACACACACATGCTCATACATACAGGTAGAGTACTGTACTTTCTTCACGAGAACGGACCCCTGCTCTTATTATTGGCAGATAACTGTAGGTACCGGTCGATATATCCCTCTTTGAGACCTGACTGGGATAATGTTTGACAAGTGCATGTCAACGGCGGCAAGCGTTTCATGAGCTGGGGCGCCATTGTCAGCCACAACGAAGCTGTTTCTATCTTGTCAAGCGACTGTCTTGGTCATATTCACCTGGAGCAGAGGTGATGCGTGTGGCAAGCAATCCTGGTCGCTCAATTGAAGTATGCAGGTAAATCTGCTCTCGTCAGCTTGGGGCAGAACATATGAGACGATAGGCTATCAGGACAAGCTCTCCCCTGAGACATGAATGCATTGTAACGTGCATAAGTCACCCTCGTTGCTTGCTTGTCGAGAGCGACTGCGTACATGCATGACACTAGTCTCGCGTTCCTGTGGTCACGATGTTGGCCAATATATCTGATGCAGTTAGATCGGATCTGGGTCTTTGGACACTTTGCTTGCTCGACTTGTAAATAAGTCATTCCGGTGAGGCGCTAGATATCAGAGTACTGAGATGGGGCGGGCTTATGTTGGAGTTGAAGTGACTTATATACAGCGCCAATCAAGGAGCTTATCCTTAGAATATGGCTCTTGCTCTGCAAGGACGGCTAACCCACGACCTTTCACGTTGACATAGGGCAACCGACAATCGTAAGCATTCAACATGCTTCTGGATCAATTACTGCAGGACATATGGTCAGCTTAGCGTAACCGTCAGCTCACGGATGTAAGTCACCTGGTCCACATAATCCAGTCAGAGCAGTTCAACATGAATCATTCTTTCCACCATTCACGACCATTTGTTCACACATGGACTATTACTGGACCAGACGCTCGATTCCGTATACCTTATACCGTCAGCTCAATCTCGAAGAGGTCAATATACTGGGTTTAATCACAGTCCACTAGAGTGTATGCTTTAGAGTATGTGCTTACAGTATGTGCTTGTCGCTACGGCCAAGACACTACTGCGTTCCAAAAGGCAGAAGGCAAAATCACGATAGCCAGGCACACAGTCTCTGTCAGACAATTAAGCTATCTGTCCGGCTCAAGCTGTGGATGTTCGAAAGAGCCATTCAGAACCTCCGAATAAGTGACCACATCCATACCACTCATCGAACATCTACTCACTCCAAGCATGAGGAGCTATTCTTCACCCGGATCTCAGGCCCTGCTCCTTCAGCCCTACTCATCACAGTCAACCAGACAAGGCTTCTTCCTCTACACGCGCCCAGCCCCCCTCAGGGTCAGCTCAATCCGACTCAGAAGTAGATCACTCTCCAAGCTAATTCATACCCTCAAGCCCAAGCCACCCCAGAGCATATCGAAATTGCGCTGACGAAGATCAGCACAATCACCAGCCACCACCAACTGAGCCCTCGAGTGCGTGAATAATTCATGTCAATCCCCTTGGTTTGCACAAGAATACCAAGCGAATCCACCAAAAGGATCTCACCGAGTTTGCTCCGAATAAACTCGTCCGGTTGACCCCGTCCCACCGAGCCCCATCCCTGCATGGATAACTACCGAGGGGGGCGTTGCGGGGTTTCAGATAAACATCTTGATGTTCTCTTAGTGATTTGGGAGGAGGCTTGGCTTGCAATTTATGCTCGGAGACCCCGGAAGGCGACGGATGGCTCTTAGTCAGAGTTGGGGCGAAGTGGGCTTGCATGGGTGATTGCGGTGGTGATGAAGTGGGATTACGTGGACTGAAGTTGAAGTACAGTACATAATACTTGGAAGCGAGGTTCGAGGGTCTCGAGGATGTGCTGATGCTTGACATGTGAGAGTCGTCTAGCCGGGTTGGTCTGATCATCACAAACAGAGGGTTTTGGTGGGAAGGGACTACTACGCGTAGATGATGTGATGGTGGCGTTGAAGCAATCTGCGATCCTCCTCATCAAGTCTAATCTCCGATTTCATGCAGGTTCTTATCACAGTTCCATCGATACTGCCTTGATGTCTATGGGCTCGTGCAATTCTTTCGGACCGATGGACGTTCGGGAAGACTTGATTTCCCGGGCACTGCTATCTCGCATCGAGTTATGGCACCGCAGTATGACAGACCCAGCCTGGGACACGACCAGCTGTAAGACATCAAACATCAAGCACCGAAAACTCACACGCATCCGAGACTGCTCCAATCATCCATCTCTCCGAGAGACAACGAGGGGTCAAGTTGCGCAAGGCTCACCACCAATGAACCTCGGACCAAGTCATCGTCAGAAACCCCCACCCCTGGTAGTACGGGGATATAATAAGCTTAAAGGAGAATTTTCGACACGAGGAGGGAGATGTCTTACTTCCCACCAATAACACCCAAAACTCCTTCTCGAGCAACCCGCCAATCGTATGTCACATGATCCTGCATCACCAGACTCGGGAGGATGTAGACATTCCTGTAAGGGGAAGATGCATTGAGAACAGGGACCAAGGAGGAACGACTGGAGGGAAGGGTGCATCCCTCACAGCCTTACTATTAGACGCACAGCCCACATCGCCTACCACTTGATGTTGAAACTGAAATGACCAATTTGTCCGCATGGTCTGTCATCGCAACGTAGGGGCAAAGGCATCTACTGAGTGAGGAAGATGACCGAGCGACGAAATTCAGACCGACCTTTTTCTTGTAGCCCAAATCATGTATTTGCGATAGCAGTATGTGCACCCAGAGAGCAAACCGGCATAGAACCGGCGCAGTCTAGGTAAGTTTAGTGGTATTAGTCCGAGCCAACTATAAGAGGACGAGACATAATCGCAATGGCTTGATTGCCTATTTGTGTAGATAGATCGGCCATCGACTACTGTCCTGAACGGCGACCATGACGTTTATGAACCCCATTCCCTCCATCATCCCACCATCACTCTTTCTCGGATGCGCCCACAATTGAATCATCCATTCGTACTTGTCCGTAACAAGATGAGCGGCGACACTGCCAGGCACCATCCTTCCATCCAACCAACCATTCCAAGACACCAACAAAAGAAAAAAAGTGGCACTCACTCACCCGCTGCTGATTCATCGAAACGATGATCCCGATCATCCTCTTCCTCTCTGTTTGTGCCTGGCCTGGGCTAGCCGGCCATCCCGAGCCCGTCGCGGTGGGCAGCGTATAGTCGACTCCCCAATCCAGCCATAGTCCAGCACCTGGCCAAATGGAGTTTTACCTAGCAGGTGCCCCGAACGAATTGCCATCCAGAGTCTCTTGAACTTGACTTTTTACCCCTTTTTCGTTGCATTGCATATCCCGTTTCCAGTTTTCTTGTGTTCCAGTTTGAGGTTTTATTTCCTTTCCCTCATCCAGTTCCCGACCCTGTACAATAAATAATCTGGGAGACTATCTTCAAGTTCAAAATCCGATCCTCACCACCCCACCGACCCCCCCTCCAAAGACCCCCGTCCATTAATCATTTGTCCTTCTCGAACCCTTCCACTGCACAAGCAGGCACATGAAACCAGACCAACAAACCCACAAACCCCTCCACAATCCACCATCCACCATCCACAATCCACAATCCACACCATCCCGAAATCAATTATTCTTGACCTCTGGCCGCCGCCGGGGGAGGGGAGAGACCCCCGGGCCCCGGAAAGATGGAAAGACTTTTTAAAAGACCACGACGCGTAAACCTAACCCCTGTTCTTCGCTTTTTCTAGGCGGGTTTCGCCTTGATTGCCGTTGCTCCGTCTCCGTGCTCCGTAGTTTAGTCTAGCGTCAGTGTGGTTCGGAAAGTTCGGTGGGTTTTTTTGTCTTGGTCACAGTTCTAGAACTTTGCGTTTCGGCGGGGTGAGATTTTTCTTTTCGGGACGGGTTATCGCGCGGCTGACTCGGTTGGGCTGATTGGATTGATGGTTTGGTTTTGATGATGATGGTGGTGGTGGTGATGGTGATGATATGGGGGGTTAAGGTGGTGCCAGTGGGATGGATGGTGTCAGGTGTCGGGTGTCGGGATACTTGAGTCAGTATTATGCTATCATGATGCTATATACTTCTCTATATGCTCTATATGTGTATGTTTGCGGAGTAGGACTCCCAGGAGTATCGACCGGTCTATGTCGCGAGATAACTATCATGTGCAGTACATATATATTCCAGGACACACCATATAACCTCCACCGCCACCGTATACATGCAAATAGCCCAAAGCCTGCTAGCAAGGGTCGCATACCCCCATAGTAGATTCCATAAGTACAGTACAGTAATCAACAACAACCCCATTATCCACATCGATATACACTCCAAACCCCTACCCCAAAACCTGGAGTGAAGCACAGCCTCGGCAAGGGGCATTTATCAATGGTAAACAAGCAGCAACCGCGAACCACGGGACCACCACACCCGTCAGCAGGACGGGAACGAACCATGGTACTCTCGCGGTGTAGTCCAACCATCAACAAGAACCAACTTTGCCTGTCACCATCGAACTCTGGTTCCTGGCAAGTTAGAACTGCTCAATGACATACCCATACCCATACCCATACCCACCTAATTAAGTTGAATCCTGTAGTTCCAGTTGGGAGGATATATTCAGTGATGGCCAGTAGGGAGATATACTCCGTACTGAGTGGGTAAGTATATATGTATATAAGTTATCACTATTAAGCCCTTCCACACTACACTACACTACACTATACGACGTTCAACAAGTGCACAACACAACCAGTGTCCACCCACAGCAAAACCCCCTCCCCCACAAAACACTTTCCTCTATGCTTTAGCATTCAGTCAACCGCCGAACCTCACATCCACCTTGCCCGATAATCTACCCAACCTTCTTTCAAAATAGAGTGCGAAAAGACTACAGTACACACACCACGGGTATAGGTACAGTCCAAGTATCCCAGTCCCATCCTGACCAAGAAACCCTGAGCGAAGACAGCGCATAAATCCCAATCCCAATCGCAAACAACCAACTAGGTTCAGAACTCGAGAAAGAAAAGCCATCGCCTCCTGCTTCCGCGTCCCGACTCGCGAGGGCTTTGTTGTTGACGGTGGGGCGAGCCCTATGTGGGTGGATTCGTTCCGTTCAACTGAACCTGATTCCCCAGCTGGCAGTGGCAGTTGGGGTTTACCCTTCGCGCCATGTGTGAGCCTAGCCGAGTATACTGCAATCATCTAGATACTACCGGTGAAAATGCACAAGCAATATCTAGGTCACGGTGAAAACGGGGGTGAGTGCCCAAACAAGGGCGACACGTTATATTGGATTCATCCGTAGAAGCGGTCAGGAGAGACTAATAGCTTACTGGTAGTGTTCCATGGAGTCCGACAAAGGCGAGAACTCCCGGTTGGAAAGGTTGTTGAGCACGGATGTTTTCTGGATATGTAACTAAGAAGAATTTTTCTTTCACCGACTTACTGACTACTGCTCCTACCGCTTTGGAAGTGTACGGAGGTCCCGAGGATTGCACACGGGATTGTGGGTGATGATGGGCTGCTCTTCTGGATGTCCTTCTCCGGGGCAGGAGGACGTGTTGGCGTTGATAGGTATCAATGGTTCACTTGCGGATTCACCGGTAGATGTACAGTACTTTCCACGAAAGTCGGGTCTGGAAGTCGGGTCTGTGTTGGCTTCCTTGATTACTTTTTGTACAGGTTTCATTGTACTCCGTGCGGTACTTCACAAAGTACGAACAGTACGTACAGTTGTTATGCATCGATAGCCGCGATGGCCTTGACTAGCGTCAAAAAGGCGAAACTGGCGGGGATCCTGCAAAGATACCTGGTGGGGTTCGGTGGTGTAGGGTAGCATACCGGTAGTCCACCAGATCACGATTGAAGATTCCAGGTTCCATCTTGTGATGGACTACGGAGTAAGTTACTGGGCGTAGGGAGGCGGTAGAACTTCTTCCGTACCTATGAGTACTAATTCACCGAGTACGAGGGACGACGGTCGATCACCTTTATTCGGTTGATGGCCGGTCTGGGTAGATCTTGCTGCATCATCGGCAACCGAAAAAAATCCTTACGGGTAGCCGCAGCGTCAGAAGAGAAAAGAAAAGAATGCCCAAATCCAGCAAGCATTTCGACCGAGAAGTCCTTCGCTGCCGCTGGTCCTGGCTGACGGTTTGTGCAATTATCTCGATGCGTCTCAAGTTTGGGTCGGTGCTGGCCCCCTTCTCTCTCTCCCTTGCCATTCACTTGAGATGTGTTGCTCTTGGTGTCCTCTTTTGAGATGATTGAGATTCCGAGTCCGTTCAATGGTTGGGATGGATGCCGGACATGCTTCTAGCTTTTCGTTTAGACTCTCGGAAGGATGTGGAAAGTGGGTAGTTAAACAACAAGAATGATAGATAAGCAGCATGCCCCCCTCTCCCTCACCCTCTCTCGGAGAAATAAGCCCCTCAACAAAAAAAAAAAAAGTCGAGGTTTGGATCCCGAATCGACCGTGAAATATGATGGATCATGGAAGGAGAGAAAAAGAGCGGGATCGGTATGTACGGAAGTTTCTTTCGAATAGGAAAAGAAAGGCCCTCTTCCCCCCCTCCCTTCAACCCGTGCGCCAATCCAGGAGGCCGGGACCGTGGGCCGTAATTCCCGATTTCCGCAGTGGAGTTGGAGTGCTTGCTTCGATCATGAAGATCAAAGTCTGCTGAGTATCTCTGACTGGCGTGTTATCTATCTATCTCAAATCGATTCTTTTCTCCGTCCTCGTAGACCGAGGCCAGTTGATGCCCTCGCAAGCAGTCAGCACAAAGTACCAGTCCATCAACACACACAGTTGACTGGGTCGGACCGCTGCATGGACCGGAAAGTGGATCGGAAAAACGGGATGTTGGTCAGGATTTGGCTCCCCTCGGAGTTCTTTCCCCTCTTCTCCCAGTGAGAAAATCCAGGCGGCTGGACGTGTAAGAATTGGCCGAGTGGTGTAAACTGTACGATTGTAGAGGTCTGACGGAATAGACGGTCTGGTCGGTCTGGTCGGTCTGGTCGGTCACTCACCGCTCTTATTATTGCTGCAGTCGCAGCCCAGCAGCTCCTGGCAATAATTAGCTATACAAAGCGGTGAGCGAGGCAACACACGCAGTCCGACTTTCCGAGGGACTATTTATCGCCAACTGCTAGTCTGGATGCTGCATTAAGGCATGGTACTGATCGGTTGGGCCGTCCTGGGCCCTGCGTCTAAGTAGGGCTGTCTGTCAATAATCACGGGGTGTCGATAACAGGGGTGAAATAACATCGAGCGAGGATCGCCCCGTCCGTTCGACGATGTTGTGCAGGCAGGACCAGAACCAGAACCAGAACCACCAGATGGATAAGTAGTACGTGTACTCCGTAATGGACACATGTTCCAGCACTGCGAAGAATGATCCACAGCTTAGACAATATGTACTTCCTGATTCCTGCATGTGGTGCGGTTGTCTTGGATCTGGATAGATTGAAGTTGAACCGACCCGGTGAATACTAGATACAATGCCTCTCTTCAATAATCAATAGACTGCCGGTGGATAGCCTAGTTCTTTCGCGGGGTACTTTTGTACTTCCCAGTGGGTTGTTCCCACTTTTGATGGTCATGTGTGAGTGTGTTCCCCTAGTAACACTCAGCCCGCGTCGGGGTCCATAAGAGACGCCCCACATACCGGGATTTTACGGGAATCTCTCGTCGTGGTGAGAATAGTTGAGATGAAGACTGGGATCAATTATCCCAGTCCTTCCTGCTGGCGAGAGGAGGGAAGGGCCTTGAACTCGTCCTGGTATGGCATGACTTGAACCATGATCCGACGTGCAAGAAAAGATGGAGAAGAAGCAACAAACCAAGCGCGAACGGAAAACTGGGCATTGATAAGATTGGAGGATAAGAGCCAGAACCTGGGGAGTCATCCACGATCATCATCTGACCTTAAGGAAGAGGAGGAGGTGATGCTGCTGAAGATGATGATGTACAGCTTCTCTTCCATCCGATGTGGACCAAAGCGACTGACTGACGCGGAACAAGGGCGCGTCTCCGAGTGAGGCTGGTTAGGCGCGACGGCGGACTTGCTTGGGGGGGGGGGGGAACTTACAGGCAGCCATGGATGATGACCTCGATGATGATTGCCCTGCCACTAAGGGAACTGTCGCTCCGAGACTAAACTACTCACTAAACTCACTCGGTATAAGCCCAGAAAACGAAGGCCCTGTTCGCCCATGCCACGGCTGCAGATGGGACCAGACTAGGTCGGCGGGCGATGCGAGGTCGATGCATCTCTGGCTTGGATGCAGAATTGCCAAAAACAGAAACAATAGTGTTTGATGGTGATGATGATGATGATGATGATGATGATGATGCAGTCATGCAGTCTCAAATAAGGCCCAGCTGGGTCGCGCCGAATTTCTTCGTTGCTTTCTAGATGTGTATGTACTTACTGTACAGTATGCCCAGGTTGAAGGGAGGGGTATCGTGGTGCCCTCCATGCGCGAACACACCACACAAGACACATACTGGAGCAGCCACACTGGGCATATCTGAAACCGAGTACTACGTAAGAACAACAAAGCCAATCGCTGTGGCGAACGACGACGACTTGAAAAGAAGAAAGTTGAGTCGTCCTGTCGCGTACCTGAGTCTTCCTTCTGCGGATGGCACTGCGCGCAATGCTGATCCAGCTGACCTTAAGCTGAGACAGCGGGAGGAGGGGAGGCAAAAATTGTGAGAAAAAAACATCCTCGCAGGATAAGTAAAGGAGAACCGTACGGTGTAGGCGGGCTAAATAGCCTTTCGCACAGTCAATGCACTTCCTTTTCTGGTCGGGGCAACATCGAATGCGTCGAATGCACTTCACAACCCATTAATCTTCTGAATGAATACTCGAGTTAGATGTGGATACACTGACTCCCGATGGAGCGGGTGGTGATCTGTCAGGCTGAGAGGCATCACATCGTCAGCAATATTCTCCTATTGCTGCGTGGTGACGGGTAGCTGTTGTTGAGTTTCTTTGCATTTCTTTTTTTTTTTTTTTGTTTTTTTTTTGTAGTTCGAAAAGCTAGCTAAGTATGCTTTGAATGAGGAGACTGTTCAGTATGAATGACTTGGCACAAGGAGTCGAGAGATTTCCCATATACCTTTATCCCTACATGGTTGCGATGCGATGACTGTCCAGATATCTATAGAACACGGTTGAGACTAAGATTAACAGCAGCAGCAGCAGCAGCAGGATCCCTCGTCATGGTGATGGAGATGGAGAAGGTCTGGAACAACGGCCGCTCCTCGGTCCTGTCTAAGATCCACCTGACTAGTTCAACTCTGTAGGAGTCACTTCCAATTGGTGCGCATATGAATCAAATTCACAAGAGAGTCAGACACAGAAATCTTAGATGCCGTTGCTAATGCTCAAATCCGAAATCCGTGTTCCGGACTCGACGGAGTGTCGATTATTGCCGTCATCCTACAGGGGAACTCCGAACACCCAGGGACGGAGTGTAGATGTATTACTGATTTGGTGCTTTCGGAGGGGTAAGTAGGGTTTCCAAGGAGGGGTGAGAGGGACGAGAGGGACATATCATTCAAGAGGGGAACTCAGATGGGAACAGAAGGAGGGGGGATCCAACCTCAAGAGGGACAGGAGGGGTAGCTGGGAGTGGCGGGTTCCATTGTTTCTCCGTCATGCTGCTCAGAAAGGAGGGGGAATGGAAGGAACCTCGATGAATTAAACTCACCAAACAGAAAAACCAAAAATCAAATGAGAATGACAATGCAGGAGGAACCAGGATGATCGATATATCGATTCTCAACCTTGAATCATGCTGGATTCTTACTGAGCAACATAATAATGGACGCCCGTTCGGTCCAAGCAGTCAGTCCGCTTAGCCTGTGTGGGAAAAGAATCCCAGGTGGAAATGAAGGGAGAGAACACACGAATCATGTCGGCACTGTTCCTCCGTGGCATTCAAGCGTCGGTGGCATCCTTGTTGGAGGGGCAAGGGGGGGCTGACGAGGGGCGAGACGAAAGAAGAACAAGTGGGAAAAAAAATAAAAATCTGAAAAAGGAAAAAGAAAATAAATAAAATTAAATAAAAAGCGAAATAAAAGAGACAAAAAGGGAAAGAGGGAAGGAGAGAGAGGGGCCAGGTGCGTGTGATTTGATTGATGATTATCATAGCACACACACTCTCTCTCACACACAGAGAGAAACGACAACCACCGAGAAAGAAGAGAGACGGAAGGACGGAGAGACGGAGAGGCTGGCTGGTCTAACCTTCTTCAGCTTTGCTGTAGCTCGAGTATTTTCGCGTCCTCCCCTCTCTCACTGTGGAGCTTTCGCACGCAATGATCAAAGATACAGCAATTGGAATTGTATTCAAATTGATTAAGATGGGCGCTGTATCCATTCCCACCATAAGTTAGTCACTACTACAGTAAAGTACTGTACTTGACTTGCAAAGTACCCTTTCAAAGATCAATCAATAGATAATGGATTACAATCTGACTCTTGTGGTGAACGGCCCCGCAGTCACCGACCGGGCTGGAGTACGTACCACCCAAATTGTGGCCGTGGTGGGCTGTCAGATAGGGGGGGGGGAGGGGGGAGGGGAGATAGAAGGAGGGGCGGGCGATAGCTGAGTACTAAAGAATAGAGATAGGGATGCGATGACTTCGATGATAATCACTTGGTAGTGCCCTAGACCTTACTTGCCCCAACTGACGTTACTTAGACAACTCGAATATTCTTGTTCTTCACTTGCTTGCTGCTGCTGCAGCACCCACCCACCCACCCACCCAACAGAGTTACATACCATACCGCTTTGAAGCTGCTCTCTCATACCAAGCCCAACCCCACAATAACAATAATGAATTCATCGTCACAGAAAAGAGACCCCGGGTCGAAGACGGAGAACCAACCAATGCAATCGAGAAATGCACAGAGGATCCAGAGGATCCAGAGGCTCCCTCAGACTCTCAGTCAGCTAGTTGTTGCTGCGAGTCCTCCTTAGGCTACCTTCTAGGGTTAGGTCGCAGGTGACTGCCGCTGAACGGAGGTTCCGTCACTAATCAAAACAGGGATAGGGTGCTAGGAGCTACTACATTATGTAGGTATAGACAACAATCTAATCACTATCGCATAGGCTCTGGCTGGAGACTCTGGATCAATTTCAGATCTAAAGAACCGACATCCATGATCATCTACATATTGTGATCAGGGGAGAGAAGAAACATGTAAAATGCTGCCCGATGTTATGCATATAGGGAGTCAAGTTCTCCCATGCCAGAACAACAGAAACAACCCAAAAAAAACTCGGATCAATTTTAACGGATGTTGACAGGTTCTTTTTCTTTGCCTGGTGTGTGTTTTTTTTAGGATTTTTTTTTTTTTTGCTTTTCACTCATACTGGCTGTGTGTAGCGTAGCGTAGCGTGTAGTGCGGAGAGGGAAATTGAAGAGTGGATATAGATGAATGCTCCCTCACATCGGACTAAACTAACAAACGGTCGATTCAGCCAGACGAAAGGACAAGCAGGACCCCCCGGCTGAACCGGGTTGACGGGTTGGAAAGTGTCCATGTGGGTTTGGGAAGAGGGAGAGTCCACTTGAAAGTATCCATCCACCGTCCAGTCTGTGACTCTGGCTTCGGTAATTGGGGGGAGAAAGACCAAAAAGACCAGAAATTATGGGTCAAGGAACTCTAGGAACTTTAGAGCAAAGGACGTGTCCTAAGCGGGATTGGGGATAGTGCGGTGACGCGGGTTAGTCAGAAATCCAAAGGAACTAACTTAACTCACTAAATAATTGAAGAAGTGGCAATAGAGGAATGCAGTGCGTGCCTGTGCCGGAAGACCGCTCAAATCGCTTGATTTTGCAACCCCCTCCGTCAGTCCCGCCGGGAAACGAAGCCCCTCTTTTCCGCCTCCCACTTCCCTGTTGTTGTGGTTCTCCTGCGCTGCTCGTCGCCCAAATCAACTGCCAACACCGACTGCTGGTCACGACCGCCTCACTTGTCGCGATCCAGCGATCGCCCAAATCTTCCTTCCCCCATCATCAGCTTTGTGCCCACGTCCTGTCGCGACTTGCTCGCACTTCCCCCCCTCCCCTCCCCTCCCCTCCCCTTCCCTTCCTTCGACCCAGACTCTCCCTCTGTCTGTCTGTCTGTCTCTGTGTCTCTCTCCCTCCCGCAAATTCGCACCGCACTCTACTTTCTCCTCATCCATTCACCATTCAATCTTCCCCCTCCCTCCCTCCGTCCCTCGTCCCTCTTACCCATTCTTTTCTTCCTCTTCTTTTCTTCTTCTGTCTTCCTCCCTCTTTTCTCCTCCTTCTCTCTTAACGTCTTTCCTCCCCCTCCCCTCCCCTCCTCCTCTTCTTTTCCCTTCCCTTTCCCCTCTTCCCTCCCCTCCTACTGGGTCATTATTCAACATCTTGCTCGCTTTCTCTTCCGTTACTTCTTCTGGGTCTTTCTCTTTCCTCTTTTCACAGCCGATTTTCGCCATCCTGGCCGTCCACGCCACCTTCACGATTCCCCTCTCCTAATCCGCCTGTGGCTGGATAACTTCAACCCTTCCCGTCATCCCTTCGAGTTCAACCTACGCTCTTCTTCAAGATACCCCCACACAAGGAATGACCAGACAACAAACCGAATCCTTGTCGTCTACCCGTCTTCAGAATCGGTGTGAAATCACGAAAGGAACGATAGCGCAATCTTCGCAGTCGAACCTGTTCCATTGAGATCCAGCCTCCGTGCCCTTGGTTTCGCTGCCCGCCTCTTCACCCATGGCTCCCAGCGCACCCAACCCGGCGGCCTCCGCACCCGTCAAAAAGACGTCCGTCCCAGAGAAGAAATACAAATGCCAATTTTGCAATCGCGCCTTCAGCCGAAGTGAACACCGCAGTAGACACGAACGATCGCGTAAGTAGTCTACACAATTTCTGGTTGAAAATTCTTGTGATGAGTTGGCTGCGCTGATCCTAGTGGCGGTGTGAGGCTAATTCTGGTTTTGACCCACAGATACCAAAGAGAGACCCTTCAAGTGCTTAAAATGTCGGAGCACCTTCGTGCGTCGAGACCTTCTTCTTCGACATGATCGTACCGTCCATGCCAAAGATGGTGGCATTCCACTAGTGTCCGAGGGCAGGCGACGCGGTGGCGCAGGTGTGCGAAAGACTTCCCCCACCTCCGGCCCCGCCAGCAAACCCTCAGTCACAGTCGATCCTACAACGCTCGAACAGATCGAGGCAAGCAGTGATGGTATGGTCGATCTTGAAACTGCAGCCATGTTGATGACAGATTTCCAACATAAGGCTGCAGCCGCTGCGACTGGTCAATCCAACGATCGTGCTGATTCCGATCGCTCATTTTCCCCCGGACGCGGTTCGTTATTAGAGCCTTCGGTCGGGTATCTGTCTGGAAACGCGACACTCCCGCAAATGCCCTGGGACACCCTTGTCTCGCCGGCTGATACAAAGCACTCGATGGGGTCGCCCTTCGCGTCCCACGATGGTGGAGCCGATTCGCATCCACTCCCGTCAGTGATGGATCGGCACGGTCCCGTAGGCGATGGTTTGGCTCCCTCGCTCCACTCTCTGGTCAACTCGCTCCCCATGTCGGGAACCTCAACGCCGAATGCTTTGTCCCCGTATCCTTCGATGACGGGTCCTGTCAGCCCTGTGAACTACCGTAGATCCCCTGGTCCCAGCCAGGCCTTGACACTGCCCAAGGCTCCTCAAATCGCCAGCGAAACGGAGCGGAACATGATCATGGACCGCCTAGAGGATGCCGACTCGCTTGGTGTACTGCCCGACTCGTTCCAGCTGCCCCCCACATCTGCACTCAACAAGTACCTGTCGACGTATTTCAACCTGTATCACCCTCATCTCCCCTTCCTGCACCAGGAGTCCTTCCAGCCCGCTGACGTCTCGGCGCCTCTGCTTCTCGCGGTTCTCTCTATCGGTGCTTTGTATACTTTTGAGCGGAAGGACGCGTTTATGCTTCATGTGGGGTCCAAGATGCTGGTCAACCAATTCCTGCAACACAAGGAAAACTTTGACTCAAGAAAATGTCCGCTGTGGGCGATGCAGAGTACCCTTCTCAACATGATCTTCGAGAGTTGGAGCGGCGATCCAAAGGGACTGGAGTGGACTTGCTCCATCAAGAGTCTTTTGGCCAATGTGAGTACTCTGTTTATCCAGAGGTTTAGTTGCTTGTACTGATCGATTATAGATGGTTGCTGGAAATCGCTATCAACTGAAGCTTCGCACTGAGGGTCGTGAGGGTATCCCTTCCAGAGAGGATTGGATTGAGGATGAGTCTTGCCGCCGTACCTATTTCGCGGTCTACATCTTCTTTGGCATGCTCACCTTGACTTTCAATCACACCCCAGCGATGAGCTTCGACGAGTTTGACAATCTTGAGCTCCCTTCTTCCGAGTCTTTGTGGAACCTCGATGTGACCGACGACGACGCTTGGCGCCGGAGCCTGGCCAATGCTTCCACCTTAACCGTTCGAGAAGCCCACGATTGTCTTTTCCAAGGCGAGCAGACCCGATACAGTGCATTCGCCACACGCGTTCTCATCAACGCTCTGTTTCTCCAAGTGTGGAACCACAAGCGCAGTTTCGAGGCTCTGCAGGACGTGGTTACCGAGTACAAGCTTCGCCTCGCTTTGGAAACCTGGGAAAGCTCTCTTGAAGTCTGCGAGCCGGAGACGATGGTGGTGCCCCTCAGCACCCCTCAGAAGGGCCACCCTCTGATCTTCAACTCGATGGCGGTCTACCGAAACACTCGCGCTCGCCTGGAAGTGGATCTCAAGTCAATCCAGGAGGCTCTGCGCTACCACTCTTCGTACGAAGTGGCTGCTGCCATGACGGTGGCCCGCGAGAAGGTCAAGCGGTCTCAAGAGATGAACAAGGTCATCCAATCGTGCTTCGAGTGCATCGAAATAGCGGCCGTTCAAGGTATCAACTGGGTGGCGCAGACGTCTGCCACGAACTGGAGCGTCGAGCACCCACTGTGTGGCTTGGATTTGATGGTGATCCTCAGTCTCTGGCTCTATCGCCTGGAACATGACGAAGAGCCAGCGACCGAGGCGGAAATCGCCATCTACAACAAGGTGCGGAATCTGTTTGACGATGATGCCGTCGATGCTTTTGGTAAACTCAGCTCTACCGTGGCCCGTGTATGGGGTAATATCCTAGACGGTGTGGTAGTATGGGGGTAAGTCATTCACTTCTGGTTTCGATTGACAGTTCAGGTTACTAACTATTCGAACAGCATTACCAAACTCATGGGCGAGTCATTCAAACTCCACTCGCAAGCCTTGATCGGCTACGAGGATTCGTTGCGCGTTGCCAAAGACCAGCCTATTCATGCAATGCCTCCCAAGACGTTGGCCAGTGTGGGAACGGCATACTAATGCTGCACATGCCACGGCCAAGGTGACCCCGGTTGCCTGAAACACATACACTTCTCTACATTCATTCAACATCATATTTGGGACACTGGATTTCGGTTTAGGGTCGGGAACGGATGCGCAAGTCTGGGCGGCAAGATGTGATTTCCGGTGACGAACTCAACCGCCGCATAATGATTCCTTGCTGGCGTTCCCCGGCTCCTTTTCATTACTTTCACTTTTCTTTCCCCTATCATGCGTTATGGTTCATATTTCTATTGGTTTTGCAAGAGCTCACGGGAGTCCGGTGTGGTCATTTTCTTGTTTTGATGGGTTGATTTTTCCCAGGCAACATCTCGACACCCGGCTGGTCCTGTGTGTTCTTCCCTCGCACTCGGTGGAGTTGTTGTTTTTTTGTCTGCTTTCTATCTGCTCGTCTACACCCTTAATTCTTAGTGCTGTCCGTTCGATTCTTGCGCATGAGCGTGTTTGGTTTTCTTTCTTTGGGGTCCGAGACATGTTGTCTTTGACTGCTTTTTCGATACCTTCTGTCCGTTATATACTTCTTTTCTCTTCTTCTCTCTTAGTCCTTCGTTGACATACACTTTTTCTCCCCTACTTGTTGATGCCATCTTAATGTGAGCTTGCGTGCTGTTCATGTGATTAACGCGTCCCCGCCTATTGATTGTTTCTCCGCTCTATTGTTCTGCTGCTTTGGGTTTGTCCTATTCGCATGTTGCGATCTGAAGATTCTTTTTTCTTTTTCGATGTTGATTCTTTCCGCACTGTTGCACATGCTTAATTGGTTGTAGTTTGTTCTGTACAATAAGTAATTTGCACACAAAATATAAGTATTTGGCGGGGACTGCAGCTCGGTAGTTGTAGTAGTTCGGTGGTTGTAGTATGATAAACCTGTCCTATACCTTGGTCATCCGCATGATTAAACACTATGACTATATTTATGCCCATAACTCCTTCTCAATCATATATACACTTTGACTAAGGGGAGGGGGCGTTCAAGAACAGACAGGCTCAAGGACCAGGCAATAACCACAAAAAATCCCAAAAAAAACCCCAACACGAACGTCCCCAGCGGGGAACGCAGGCACCCACGCATTCCGCCATCGGGAAAGGTACGTAGTAGCGCGTCCCGCAGCCGAGCGGGGCGAAGACGACAGCGTCTTGGGGCCCAGGGGTAAAGGGTTAGGGATGGTAGGCCTAGTTGGGCGAGGATGCCGAAGATGGAGAAGAAGGGTTAGATAAATGGGGGGGGTGAGGGTTGTGAAGGTGGTGGAATGGGGATGGGGCGTGCCGGGGGTTGTGTAGGTGTGTCTTCGGTGGGCTTTGCGCGACCTTGTTGGGGGGCATGGTCGGTCGTGGGAGGGGCGGCGCTGGCTTCGGTGAGGGCACTGTCAGGTATCATCATTGCTTTGGTTGTTGTGGTTGTGGTTGTGGTTGTGATGCCATCTCGGCGTTCGGTTTGCGACAGGAAGTTCGGAGCGGAGAGAAGTCCGGAGAGACAGAAGACAGAAGACTATGGAGGTGGGGTCGGTGGAGCACAGGCTGGATTCTGGTTCGCTGGGCGAGATCGACGGGGTATACCTGGGGATTTAAGATAACGATTAACCAGAGAGAGATCATGATAAACAACTTATCAGTGCGGACTCCGGAGATATCCTCACCTGAAGGAACGATAGGCGATAGACGATAGACGATACAGTGAATGCAATCAATGGCAGAGTGAATGAGGAAAGGAGGAATGCCTGAGGATCAGCGGACCAGGCGCGGCGCAGGTGACTTTCTGCTGCCTTGTTTGTTTTACCCCTCATTCCCAACTGCATCATTTCATTTCCACTCTTCTCTTCTTCTTCTACCAACGCACTGCTACCTGAGCTACTCCCAGCTACTCCCAGCTACCCCCAAGCTATAAAACCCCTCCCGCCCCCTCCGTCTCTGTATCTCAGCCCAACTTCCAGCATCCACCTATAAACTAACTCAACCACCATGAGCCTCCCCTCCAACGTCCACGTCTCCTCCCACCCCCTCCTGCAGGCCAAACTCTCGCAACTGCGCTCCTCCTCCACCTCCACTCGTCAAACACGCGATCTCGTCCACGAGATCGCCACCATTCTGGGCGTAGAAGCCTTTGCATCTGGCTGGAAAACGAAGCAAGATGGAACGGTATGCTTGTCGTCCACCACCACCGTTACCAAAAGCTAACCGCCAACAACAGGACAAAACCCCACTGGGCATCGAATACCCAACCACGACCCTCGACCCCTCCAACATCGCCTTGGTGCCCATCCTCCGCTCAGGACTAGGCATGACCGACGGTACGTGCAGCCCCGGCCCCGGCCCCAAACCCCTGAAAACCCCATCGCATATCCTTCCTTATCAGCCCCTAATCTATCAGCCCCTCTTATCTCCCACCCCGGGGAATCCTTATCTCCCCTCTCCACCCCCCCAAATCTAAAACCATGCTAACAAAAAGAATACCAGCCATAAACTCCCTCCTCCCCACCAGCATCCCCATCTACCACCTGGGCCTCTTCCGCGAGCGCCTCACCCTGCAACCGGTCGAGTACTACAACAACCTGCCCTTCCACAAGGCCGCCGGCAGCGCCAACCCGGCCGCCGCCGAGACGGCCATCCTGCTGGACCCGATCATCGCGACGGGCGCCACGGCCGAGGCGGCCATCCAGCTGCTGCGGGAATGGGGGGTGCGGCGCGTCGTGATGCTGAGCGTGTTGGGCTCAGAGGCCGGGATCCGCCGGGCGGCGGGGACGTGGGCGGACGGGGTGGAGGTGTGGACGGGGGCGGTGGACGCGCAGTGCGACGAGCGCGGGATGATCGTTCCGGGGTTGGGGGATATTGGGGATCGGTTGTTTGTGGCGATTGGGAAGTAGATTTTTTTGCTGTCGGTGGGTGGTAAGTTAGTCAACTGGGTGATTTGGGGCCGGGGGGGATTTCTGCGGGGGTGGGTAGCATTGTCATTGTGGCATGGGCATAGATAAATGAGGTATGAGGAAGAGAATGAATGCATATGAGCTATTCATGAACTATCATCAAGTCCTTCCTAGTATTCTGCAACTATGAACTAGACCACGAAACATCAACGCCTCCCCTCGCGCACCGATATCCAGTCCGAAATCAATGCCCCCCCTTCCACCCCATAGCCTCCATCTCCACCCCGCCGCCGCCGCCGGCCTCATTTCCCCGCTGCCCACTACTACTGCCCGTCCGCCCCCCCACTGCGGAGGGAGCCACCGGGGAAGACCCTCCCACTCCCATACTCCCCGCCCTCTTCACCTCACTTCCAGCCCCAGAATCCCCCGAATCCCCGCCACCCGGATGCGACCTCAAACTCAAATGCCGTTTCCCCATCCCCAATCCCAACCCCAACCCAAAGGCAGAAGACGCTTTCCTCCCCGGCCACTTCTCCTTCCCCTCGCCCTTCCCATCGTATCCCTCACTCGGCGTCGTGACCGCCACCCCGATCTCCTCCTCAGCCTGTGAAGGTATCTGCTGGTGCAGGTGATGGTGCAATCCCGCCAACTCCGCGCGCTTCTCAATGATCTTCTCGATCCCGATCGCCGAGCCAGACGCCGTGGCCGTGGCCGTGACCGTCGTCGGGGTTGATGTCCCTGCGCCTGCGCCACCACCACCACCACCATAGCCACCCGCGACACTGCTCCCGCCCCCGAGGACGGTCGTCGACCCGGCCGTGATGGTGGTCGAGGTGCCCATGGGCCGGTAGTCCGGGTGCAGGCGCTGCTCGTGCAGGCGCGGGTCCACGCGCCGGGTGTCCAGCATCTGGTGGCGGAGTTTGTCGCGGTGGGCTTCGCGGCGTTCGGCGGCTGAGGCTTTTGGTTAGTTATTTTGAGGTAGGTTGGGGTTGGGGGAAAACTCACCGTTCCAGAAGTGGACGTACACGGCCATCACGACGAAGCAGGCCACCAGGAACCCGAAGAGGATGCCGAGTTCGTGGCCGAGGGATTTCATCGGCGTGTAGGGGGGGATGTTGGCGTAGGATCTGGCCATGATTTTTCTGGATGGGGAGGGGTGGGGTTAGCTTTTTTTGGGTTGGGTTGGGTTGGGTTTGGTTGTTGAAGGGGGGGTGTTGAGTGAGGAGGGGGTGGAAGGGGAAGGGGAGGCGGAAGACTTACTTGTGATGGTTTAGGTGAGAGGTCCTTGGTCAAGGGTTCGTGGAGAAGATGTTAACAGTTAAGGTGGGCTGTTTGTTGTTGGGGTGGGCTTGGTGATATCGGATGGGTTGTGTGAACAGTCTAGGTGGGATGCAATCAGGTTTGTAGCTTGTATCCAGCCCTTAGACAGGCTTGGATACTGTCGCGGCCAAGTAATCACTTCACTTGGCAGAAACAGTAACACGCAGCAGTTAATGCAGTGTGAAGACAGGAGATATACCACACAGCGCACCCTCTCATGCATGTGAGATTCCTCCCGGGGCCGTGGTAGCAATAAGTACTGTACTGTGCTGTGGAGAACGGCTGCTGGGGCGTTGTCAGCACCAGAACACGAGGTCCGATGCGCATGGGACGGAATTCCTTTGTTTCATGGCGACGTACACTGACGAGGCCAAGCAGAGATTCATATTCCCAAAACTGGTCTCCTGGTCTCGGGCAACGGACAAAGGAACACACCACACACCTTGGCTCACATGACACGCGCATCGGGAGATTTTGTCCATCGCTCGCGGCGACTTTCGACAGTCTGACAATCTGACAAATTCGGAGATACTACTGTCAGAAAATCAAAAAAAAAGAATTGTTCATAAATAATGGTGGTAGATACATCATGAGAATAGAACAAGAAAAGATCAGCGAGCCACCTGTCGGCTCGACTCCAGATCCAAGGTATCATATACACATACAATCAAGCATCAAAAGAAAAAGAAAATTTGCCCGGTCTATACATGGTGGCTTGGGTATGCATGCAAAGAAGACGGAAGAAGAAAAAGGTATAAAACAGAAACCTGCAGGGAACGTATCCGGTATCCACATGGTATTAAGTGACCAGTCCACTGCAGATCAGATCAGATGCAGGTGCCAGAGGTTTGGACCCAAGGTATGCGATGCGCTCGTAGCAAGGTGGGAAAATTGCGACCAACGATTCCAATGCGGTTGCCGGTCGATGTCGTCAAAAAGGTAAAATCGAGAATTATGAAACTCCGTATGCAAAGGTAACAGGTGCGGCCACGGTATCGATCCTTCAGCCCAGCATGACGGCCGCCAGCGCTGTACAGGTCAATCCAATGGCCATTCCGATCCACGGCGTCTGTCCGAGAGTGCCCTCACTGCGAGCGCGCAGGGCCTTGGTGTCCCGCGCGGAGGCGGCCAGCGTCCCCAGTCCGCTGTCGATGGCGGGGTCCTCGTCCGTCTGAATCCCCCGCTCTTGCCATTGACGGATCTCTGGGTGGATTTCCAGCACGTTTTCTTGGTGGTCGGGCCGGATTTGAATCTCTGGTAACGGAGCAGGCGGGGTGGTATTGGGTAGGGAAGGGGTGGGAGACGGCGCCCGGTCGGCTTCGGCGGCGATAGCTATCGTCGGAACGAGACAGAGAACGATTGTCAAGGGCCTCATGGTGAACTCGGAATATGCGACAGGCTTCAAAGCGACAGAAAAGCGATCGGGGATGAGCTTCGTGTGTATATATAAGACGAGATTATGGTTGTGCGTCGAGATTGTCGCGGGTTTAGATTAGATTGACTCCGATGCGCAAGGCTGCCTCCACCAGGCCCCGAACGTGCGCAATCTCACTCGTGCAGCGAAGGGAATCCACCACCACTGCCACGGTTGAGAGGTGTCGCACTAGAATAATCCAGCAACCACCACAGTAAGCAGCCAAGTCGGGTAGAAGCTGGTCCCGACAGCGCGATTGTCGCACACTTCGGAGAGGTCGAAGCGAGAGGGCGGGAAGCAGGAGGAAGAAGAAAAAAAGAATGGTTTGGCAAATCTCCTGAAACTGGGCGGGAACGAGGAACGGACTCAGCCACGGGAACGACAGGCAGCAAAAAACAAACTCAAACTCAATTCCGCCCCAGCGAGAGTAAGTCGATTTCGACACGCAGGTAATGAAGACCCAAAGCAGACGGACAGAAGGAGGAGGGGAAACGAAGAGGAGGAGAGGAGGAGAGGAGAAGGAGGAGGAGGAGAAGTATGGGGGAGGGGAAGAAGGAATAGGAGCGAGGAGGAGGAGAGGGAAGAATGGGAGGGAGTTGATTGAGTTGGAGCGAACGGGCGGAATAATAATAATAATAAAATAAATAATAATAATCAAACCCAGGGGGTGTACCATGTACCATGTACCATGTACCGTGTACCGTGTATCGTGTACCGTACCTATCGGGGGTAACTAACGGCCCAGACCACTCCAGTCTCCAGCAGTGCCAGTGACAGGCTACCTAGTAGGCTAATGGCCCTGACCCTGCTGCAAAAGTAGTGCCAAATTAGTGGAAATTAGTCCCAATTCGCCTGCCCTCTTTGGGTTAAGCGACAAGGCACTGTTCCACTCTTGGGGCGGATTGACGGCATTATCGTGGGTTCTATTGGTTCCCAAGTCTGAGCCGTGCCCGCACGGGCTGAATTGCCCTTACTTGGGGTTAGTTGCTTGTCGATCGACCAGTTGATCGAATGTCTCGTGCTACGGAAAGCTTAGAAGCCTTGTCAGGGTTTTACAGCCAAGTGGAGCTGGAGAGCCCAAGGGTCGGTCACTTTCTTCCCTTTCCCTGTAACAACCAGTAAACAATCAGTAACGAGTAACTTAGTCACCTAAACGTGGAACCCGCAACCCGCGGGATCCAAACCCTGATGTGAGACATTTCATCTCGACGGTTAGATTAAGCTGAGACTTTTGACACCACCAGCGGTTTGTGTTTGACTGCAGGCTGATGATTAACCTATTGAGTACTGTTCTGAGTACTGTTCTTCCAAACTTTATGCGAACAGCTACATACTATTTTTACTACCATATCGGTAGATGATCAACTCTAGCGGCCAAACTACCGGGGGGAGCTGATGGATGTCATAATGGGGATCATCAGCCGACGACGTAGAGGGGCTGGTCCAGTGGTCAGCCTTGGTTGTTGTTTGGTTGTACGGTGCAACAACTTCAAACCACCACCTGCACTCTTGTATGGCGTCATTACAGCCCCTCCTACCCTCACTCTCACTCTTACTAGAGTCCTACTAACTTACCAACCACTCTTCCCTGCCTACCCTGCATATCCGAAGGTGACGTATTCCCAAAGGAATACGTAAAAAAAAAAAAAAACAAGTCAGGTTCAATGCAATTGGTTCATTCATTCATTCATTGAACTTGATATCTATCATTCAATCAACTAGCTCCCAGCCTCAAAACTCATAGCATCTTCTCCCAGTCCGGCGTCACCGTGAACTTGCCGCTGAGCTGGCCCATCGCCCAGACCTTCTTCTCATCATCCGGGAACTCCTCGTCGCCCGCATTCGGCGGCGTGGAGACGATCAGGGCTTCCTGGGAAAAGTCCACCGCCGTCGCGCGATCCAATTCGAAGTTGATACCACCCCAGTCCATCGTCACTCGACCCGATGCGTGGACGTTCAACTTGCCGACTCGGCCAGCCAATAGGCCGGGATCCGCAGCAGTGACGACCTTGGCAGAGCCCTGCGCGGCCGTCGCATCCTCGTCGCCGTCAACGATCTCCATCTCGTCTTCGCGCTTGACCGGCTGTTCGGTGGCTGGGGTCTCGGTAGTGGTGGTGGGGTGAGAGTCCGTAGTCTCAGTACCAGGCAGCACCAGGTTGGGAGTCAAGGGAGGGAATTGCATGAGGAACAGCTGTCCAGCCAGCTTGTCCTCCTCTTCTGTGGGATCCTCCTCGTCGCCTTCTTTGTCCTTCTCCTTCTCCTTATCCTCTCCTTCCGCGGCACCCTCCGCGGCACCCACCAACGCCTCCGGAGCTTCAGGCCGGGGCTCCTTCTGGAAGAGGGTCTTCACGATCTCCAAATCCTGCTCATGCCTCTCGTATTCCTCGATATCCTCCTTTGTGCGTAGCAAACTCTTGGGATCGATGACCACCTCCGGCTCAGGGCTGGGGACGGCAGACTCCGAGACCGACTTAGACGGGCTCAATTTCCGGCGCACCTTGACCTTCTGCACGGGGAGCAAGCCGTCATCGACGTTCGTAGCGCCCTCATCCGCACGCGGCACGTCAGTCATGACCTGATCCTCCTCATCCGTAGGCTCCTCCTTGACGATCTGATCCTCCTCATCCACAACCTCCTCAACATCCTCCCCACCACCATCATCCTGCGCGACAAACAAAGCATCATCACCCTCCGCCTTCTTCTTCTTTTTCTTCTCCGCCTTCTCCGCCTCGGCCTCCTTCTTCTTAACCTCCGCAGCCCCCGTCGTACTAGACTCCATATTAACACTAACCACGCGCTCCTCATGCTCATGCCTCTCCAACCGGAGGGGCCTCAGCCCCCCGACCCCAATGCCCCCGCGGCCCTCCAACTTCACCTTCCGATCCTTATGGTCCACTTCATCTTCATCATCACTCCCCAAATTAATCCGATCAATACTCACCCGGACCTCGCCATCGCTCTCATCCGAACTCACATACCCCTCCCCACCCTCCCCGACCTGCGTCGCCCCGAGATCCATCACACTGCGACTCCGGGACCGGGAATCAAACCCACCACCCAGCGCTCCACCGCGCCCGCGTCGCGCTCCACCACCACCCATCCCAGACCCCAACGGCCCTCCCCCGGGCCCCATCATCCCACCGCGCATGCCCCCGCGCCCGCCTCTCCCTCCGCCATGCTGTCCACCGCCGCGCCCCCGCTGAATGGCAGCGGCCTCCTTCAACCGCTCGCGGTTCCGCTGCGCCTCGAGCTTCTCGATCGCCTCGCGCTCCTCCTTGCTGCGTCGGTTCACCGCCCGCGGCTTGTACTTCAGGGTCGGCTTGGCAGGTTCACTGCTCCCCGGGGGGCCGCCGGGCGCGGGGGTCGGCGACGGCCGCGCGATGCTGCCCGACGGCGGGGTGCGTTTTTTCAGGGTTTGGAGGCGCTGCACCGGGGGTTTGGGGCCGGCAGCAGCAGCAGCAGCAGCAGTCGTAGTCGTAGATTCGGTGGTGGGAGCATTGTTGGGTTCAGCGGCGGAGGCGGCGGCGGCGGCGGTCGTGCGGCGGGTTCCTGCTGCTGCTGCTCCTCCGCGGCGGGGAGGAGCTTTGGGTGGCATTTTTCCGGGGGGGGGGAAGACGAATGCGAAAATGGAAAGTGTGTTATCGTAGCGTGGGAAGGCTGTGGAGATGCGTCCGGTGATCGTAGGTCAGGGTAGGTCTCAATTGGTATAAAGCCTGTTCTTACAAAGTCCAGGGAAAGAGAACTGGGTATGTCGTCGTAGGAGGTAGAAGGATGCGTGAGATTGCGAAGTGCAGTGGCTAACCTCCCGAAACTTTTTTTCCCGGTCCGTCGGCCTCTCGGCGGCCACGGCGGGCAGAAAATTCGGGAAGGAAGCACGCGTCTAGCCCGGGAAAAGTGCGGGGCGGCGGAAATTTGTATCCGCTAGCCTCGATCGAGTATGGTCTGGGCCGACCCGCGACCCGACTGGCCGGCATCTGTCAGGGCTTAGTCAGCACTCAGCACGCTCATCCCACCTTCCAAGTAATTTCCTTTGTTCTCGGTGAATAAAGGAACTAAACATTATACTCTAAGCTGAATGAGAAGTTAACCTGTCATCAATAGACTGCATATGCTAATAAATTGATCGCGAAACATTGAATGCCACTGAGTCAAGTCCTGGTCAGGTCTACTGTGTCTGTATAGGTCCTCATCTGAAACATATATTTCTTATTCGATCACTCTAGACCAGACAGTTATTGTTCCGTCTCCACCAGATCAGTCGAACAATGACTCAGCCATTCAAAACAACAAAACCAATCAATCCAGATACATTGGCACAATCATCGCACGGTAATGAGTGGTGGAAGGCGACCAGGCACCCCACAGGGCCGCATCAAATTCAGCTGCAGATAACGCCAAAAGAACACGACACAATAAGCACAATCAACCCGCTCAGTTCAATCGCTAGAACTATTGAATGGAATGCAGAGTGTAATGGGACAAGCATGACGATGTGAGGGACCGTGACAAAAGCTCGGAGCTCGTCGAGTTGATGCGAGGTGGTGAGGTCGACAGTCGGAGGGAGCGTGGGTGTAATGTAGGTGGTGGGTGGAAGGTTGAGGTTGGAATGAGCGACGCACCCGAAGGAGCCGTCCGAGCGGTCGCAGAGTCACCCACTCCTACCGGGGTAGAAGTGCGAGGTACTGCGCACAAGAGGGACAGGAGACTTCAGGATGGAAGGCCAACGGTACAGGGTCAAGGTTATGAAAGGAGGGGAAAGATGCGATACACAGATAATTCCACTCGTCTATGTTGAAAGGTAAAAGGTAAAATATGTTTGCGGAAATGCAGCCATCCAGGCACAGCTCATAAGTCGATATTCGGACAAACAGGTGCAGGTGCGAATGTGTATCTGAGATAGAAAAAGCAACAGGACCGTCATCCTCATGCCGGATACAGGATAGGTCTAGCGCTTGCGTTTC